GGCACTTCTTAAATACAATCACTAAACTGGAAACTAAACTAAACTAAACTAAATAAAATAGTACAATAAAAAATAAATAAATTAAAATAAATAAGATTAGAATGGAATGGGATGGAGTAAGAATAGAATGAAATAAGAATGGAATGGAATGGAATGGAATGGAATGGAATGGAATAGAATAGAATAGAATAGAATAGAATAGAATAGAATAGAATAGAATAGAATAGAATAGAATAGAATATATAGGATAGGGTAGAATAGAAAAGATAGATAGGATAGAAAATAGGATAGGATAGGATAGGATAGGATAGAATGTACAGAATACAGATAATCGAATCAAATTGAATGAAATGAAATAATGAAATGAAATGAAATATAAGACAAGGCCCTTCGCTTTCTTCCTCTTCTGCTTTTAAAAACACCACCCTCTTCCCAACGGGGCCTATATCTGCCAGCGCTTTGGCTACCTTCATCCAAACAACCATCAAGACTGACCGCTCCTGCAACCCACCTCCCAAAGGTGAGTCACCTCGTATCTAAACAAACTGCCTGTCTTGCATGCTTAAACATCCCCCACCCCGAAGCCTAAATAAGGAAACAGTTGGGAAACCGCCAGAGAGGCTGGAAGGAGGCGTCAAGTAAGGGACTCAGCTTGGAATCCTTGTGAAGCCGCAAGATGCTTCAGCTTGAGCTCCCGCTATAGCAGGGCTCTCCAAATTGAGCCACTTTTAAGACTTGTGGACTTCAACTCCCAGAATTCCCCAGCCAGCCATGCTGTCCACAGTCAACAAGTCTCAAAGGTGCCAACTTATAAGACCCCTGCCGGCTGGGGAATTCTGGGAGTTGAAGTCCATAAATCTTAAAGTGACCAAGTCTGGAGACCCCTCCTCTAGACCCATGAAACCTCCCATGGAAAGGCAAGCAGATTCTGGTAACTCAGGCAGAAAACAATAAAGTGGTTTGTTCTAGCTCTCTGATGGTGGAACCTCTGGCATTTGTGTGGGCACGTGAGCCCCAGCCAAGCTCACCTGCACTGTACATGCACAGGCCTCCCAGCTTATTTTTGGCCCCGTTTGGGCCATTTTGGCTCTCTTGGAGGCTCGAGGTAAGCCTCGGGAGCCTGAAAAACAGGCCTTCTGGAAATACCGGAAGGGCCAAAACGGGCCTGGTTTTTTGGCCTCCTGAGGCTGCAGAGGCTTCCTTCAAGCCCCTGGGAGGGCGGAAACGGCCTCAAACAGGACGCAAGTCAGCTGGGAGGCGCATGCATCCGCAGGGCAGGTAAGGGGGCGGGGTGGGGGTTGCACATGCATGCACGGGGGGGGGGGGGCATTGCATTGTAGGTGCCGAAACGTGCACGCTTTCAGCACCCCACAACAAAAAGGTTCCCCATCACTGCTCTAGCCATTTACAAGTGGCTCTGGTTGCTGCCCCCTGATAGAAACCGAGCCAACGTGACTGAGCCGCACACCATTTACGTGGCTTCTTCTTGCCAGCCAACAGGGACTCAAGAGGTCCCTCAAAGCCCAGGGGCTCTTCAGCGTGATCCATCCCTTGGCCAGAAGCTGCTGCTGCTGCTTTGGCAACTTCTTTCCAGCCACCTTGGAATGACTGGACTCGGGGCACAACTCCCTGAGATCCGAGTCTCTCACTCACGTGGTGCAGCTGCGGTTTCTGTAAGGTCAGGCGGTGCGTCCGGCCTCCGTAGGTGTCGCTCTTCAGCACGAACATGGTCACTTGGCCTTCAGAACTCATGATCACCACGTAGGGATCGGCCACGGCACAGTGCACAATGGGGGAGCCGAGGTCCACCGGGATGAAATGTAGCTGGTTCACTGGGGGAAAGAGGCACGGACAGCTGAGGAATTGGTGGGTTGTGGTGCTTCAGCCTGAGGGGAACATGCCACGCTCCTAAGGGGGACTGAACGGTGCCACCTCATGCCAACTGTGTGGTGCTCTCCAAAGTAGCGCGTGGAACTGTCCACACCAGGAGTGTGTCAAACTCAATTTCATTGAGGGCCACATCAGGACTGTGGTTGACCTCGGGGGGCCAGATGGGCGTGGCCTACTGGTGGGAGTGGCCAGCTTGATGCCACTCCTCAAACTGCTGGCATTTTTCATCTTCACATTCGGTAAACCGGGCCAAAGCCACGCTGGCTGGCTCCTTACGTTTCCCAGGATGGTCCTACCGGCCGGATCCCACCACATCGTGGACCAGATCCGGCCTTGTGTTTGACACCCCTGGTCTACACCATGATCTCAACTGCAGCAACGTTAAGATGTCTGGACTTCAACTCCCAGAATTCCCCAGCCAGCATGACTGGCTAGGGAATTCTGAGAGTTGAAGTCCAGACATCTTAATGTTGTTGAAGTTTTGAGAACCCTGGGTGTAGACAATTCCTCCTCTGCCACTGAATTATTGAACTTCCAAAATGGGGACCACCTGGAAAGGTGAGCCAGGTAGCGTTTTTGCCCTCACCTCCTTCCAGCAGGCGGATACCTAGAGGGGACACTTGGACGATGTAGCGGTTCTCGCCAATGTTGCCGGAATATACGGTGGGGCCCTGAGTGGCAAAGCCGCTGGTGTCCAGCTCCATGATCTCCTGGCCGGTCTGCAAGATCTGAGAGAGGAGAGAGAGGGAGAAGACGAACAGAGGGCAAATATACATAGCTGAGAGCCAGATGAACTAGCGGTTGGTTGTCCTTGCTGAGAAGGGACATGGCCAGTGACTCTGGCAGGGATGGATTCTCTACAAAACCATCCTGCCTAGCCAAGAGTCACCTCATGCGCCCCCAATTCAGTCCTCAGTCTTTGTTGTTTCTGCTGACAACCTTCAGTCAACCCCTCACTTGCCCAAGGTGGATCTTTGGACTGCCATGGACCTCTTGAGGAAGGGACATGCTCAGTATGTCAGGGCATCTCAGAGAGTTCTTGTCCACCAAGACAAACTCAACCCAACCCAGTCTAAGCCAAGCCAACTCAATTCAAATCAAACCAAGCCACTTCAGCCCAAACCAACTCAAGCCAAGCCACTCTACACCAATTTAACTCAACCCAACTCAAGTCAAACAAGCTACTCCAACCCAACTCAACTTCTCAACCCAACCCAACTCAAGCTATGCCATTCCAACCCAACCCAAGTCAAGCCAAACTAAACCATTCCAAGCCAACTCAAACCTAACCCAACTCAAGCCAAGCCAACACAACACAGCTCAAGTCAAACTAAGTCATTCCAAACCCAAGGCAAGTCAACTCAGCTCAAGACAAACAAAGCCACTCCAACCCAACCTAGCCCAGCCCAGCCCAGCCCAATCCAACTCAAGTCAACCCTTCAACTCAACCCTTCAACTCAACCCAATACTCTCCAACCCAATCCATTCAAATCTAATCTAATCCAAGCCAAACCAACTCAACCCAACCAAACCCAATCCATCCAAACCCACTCTACTCTAAGCCAATCCAACCCACATCAAGCCAAGCCAAGCCACAGAGAAGCACCCACCATGGTGGAGTCTTCACGGCTCAGGATGAGGAACCCATGTCGCTTCCCATCATCTGCTGGCTCAGGTGGAGAAGGCTCCTTCTCAGTACCTTCTTCCTGAGTATCTTCTTCCTGCTAGAAAAGACATGGAGGATGCTGTCAGGGCCCACACTCCATCTCAAGATCAATAAACTTGACATAGTCAGAGGTCAGAACCAGCCCAGGTCATTGTATTGTATTAACAAGACTCCACAAAAAAATAATTAGGGCCCCAATTTTTGTGCCTAGCAGAGACCACTGAGGACAGAAGAATCAAAACTCATGTGGGAGGCAGCATTAGTGAGAATCAGAATACCAAACCATCTTCAAATCTTCTTCATGGATCTCTGGAGGCCTCCTGGAGGTGAATAGGACACTAGCCAAGCCCAAAAGAACCTAGATTTTTTTCTGACCAAGCAAGCAGTCAGAGAGAGATAAAATGCCTCCCTGTTCATCCCCCACCCCCCAGCTTTTAGGCTTCAGCATCCAGGAGTGCTGGTCTGACATTGTTTTATCTCTGGCTTGAAGGGTGAGCTACCTACAACCCAAAACATGCCTAGCACAATGTCTATGGATATTCTCAGTCATTCAAATCATGGTTGTCCGAAAGGTGTTTTTTCAAGAGGCAACTGGACTTTTCTGGTTTTTCTCTGAAGACGTTTCGCTTCCCATTCAAGAAGCTTCTTCAGCTCTGACTGGATGATGGTGAGGAAGGGAAGGAGTGATATACTCCTTGCAGACAGATGGTCATTTGCATTCATTTGCGTTGCCTCCAGGTGACCTCAATGCCTCTCTAAAAAAGGATGCAAAGGACCAGCTGTTGGCAGGGAGTATCAATCCTTCCCTTCCCCACCATCCATTCAGAGCTGAAGAAGCTTCTTGGATGAGAAGTGAAAGGTCTTCCAAAGGAAAAAAAAACCAGAAAGTCCAGTTGCCTCTTGAAAAAGCACCTTTGGGATGTCTAGCACAACACTCTGGGACAGACCGAGGCTGGGCAAGCAAGCCAACATCCTTGTCCTGGAAAACCTGCATATCTGTCCTCCGTTGGCCCTGGGAAGGAGAACCAATCAACTGACTTCATAAACCTCCAAAAGGAAAAGTTGGACGTACAGGGGCTTCCTCTGCCTTCCGGGGTGAGATCACGGTCCACATGTCGTAGCAGCCGGGCAGTTCAAAGGTCGTTACCACCTGAGGACGGATGCTTTTCTGCAAGGAAGGGAGAGGGAGACATCGGGGTCCAGCATCTCCTGCTCAGGAGGGAGACGCCTTACATTTTCTGTCAGGATATTCGTGGCTTTAAGGAATGAGGTTCACACCCTCCTAGCCCTGATGATACTACCTAGCTGGGCAATGAGACATCTGCAAGAAAACCACAAAGCTCAGAGAACACTAAGGACCCTATCCTCCTCCTCCTCCTCCTTCCCCCAATATCCTATCTTGCTCCTCCTCCTCTGAAAACCCTGTTTCCTTCTAGCACTGATGATGCTATCTAGTTGGGTATTGAGACGTCTGCAAAAAACCCCACAAAACTCAGAGAGCACCAAGGATCCCACAATTCAATCCCAAAGTTATAAATATTCCCTCAGTGCTCCAATGTTCTTTGGGGCAGCCCTAAACCGTGCTGTGAATGGCGCTCGACCCCTGATTTTCCTCCCTGGGACAGGTCTGCGGGGACCCCTCCCCCCCCAGGTGTTTCCCCTCTCACCTGCAAGACTGAGAGGGCACCGTTCTTGCCGTAGCCCGAGCACACCACAATTTCTAGATCAGGTTCAGGACTATTCTGGAACTGGAGAAAGAAAGCTGCATTAAGCCGGCTGCCTCCCTTGTAGGTTTCACACAGCAAACCCCCTCATTTCTCCAAGAAGCCCTCCACAATTTTCTCAAGGACATTTAAGGACACATAATCTTTGGCAATTTGAATCTGTTTTTTTACATGTGTCGTTTTTATATCTCTAAATTATATTATAATGTAAGCCCCTCAGAGTCGCCTTGAACCGTGCAATGGGCAACATATAAATTTAATAAATAATAACACCATCAAATATCCAATTTGCTCATCCCAGATCCCTGGAAGGACTCGATAGGTAGACCAAAATGCCAAATCTAGACTGAACTTCTGGCTGATTGTGTGATGAACCATTTTTTCCCTTATTTCTAGGGGACTGGAGGCTAAAACATATGATCAACGGTTGCAGAAACTGGGAATGGCTAGCACAGTGAAGAGAAGGACCAGGGGAGGCAGGATAGCAGTCTTCCAATATTTGAGGGGCTGCCACAGAGAGGAGGAGGGGGTCAAGCTATTCTCCAAAGCACCCGAAGGCCAGAGAAGGAACAACTGATGGAAACCAATCAAGGAGAACAGCAACCTGGAATTGAGGAGGAACTTCCTAACAGTGAGGACAACTAACCAGTGGAACAGCTTTCCACATGAAGTTATGGGTGCTTCATCAATGGAGGTTTTTAAGAAGAGACTGGGCAGTCACTTGTCTGAAATGGCACAGGGTTTCCTGCCTGAGCAGGAGGTTGGACCTCCAAGGTCCCTTCCAACTCTGTTAATCCATTTTTCTTTTTCTTCCCCAAACAACCTTTCCTTCCGAGGTCGGATAACCCCTCTCCCTCCCAAGGTAGCATCCATGTGAGGTGGGGGGGGGAAGCAATCTGGAGCACCCACCTCCTCCGAGAGAAAGGCCGGTTCCCCCATGGCAGCGTTGGCGCAGGGCCCAATGTTCAGGATACTGTCACAGACCTTCCGGAAGAGAAGAGGAGAAGCATCAGATCGGCTGAAAATTTCTGATTCCCCAAGAAAAGAGGTGGAAAGCGGCATTTTTTTCCTCTTACTTAGGAAACCAAGATGGGACACCTGCAGCCCTCAATACAGAAAAAAAAAAATCTCCAGCACGTGCCAGAGAAAAAGGACCACTGGGAATCAAATCAAGTTAGAGGCCGTCCTGGCAAGATGTTGCCATGGACAGAAATTGGAGCCGGTGGTGGAACACTTGGTTGCAACCAGGTGACCATGGCGAGCCCGCCATGGCTGGAACTCCAAGGAATGGTTCTTTTTTTTTTTTTTGAAAATATAGTTTATTAGTTTTTACAATTAAAACCAACCAACAATACATACACAAATAAACAAAAGAAAAGAAAAGGAGAAAGAAAAGAAAAGAAGGAAAAATTTAGAGAAAAGAAAGAAAAAGAAAAGAAAAAAGAAAAAAGGGGAAGGTTAAAAGCATTCTTATTTTTACAGTTTGCAAGATCTTTTTTCATAACCTTAATTTATGTCATGTACACACACCTGTTCTTTACTTATATCGCTACATCATTATTATAGATTAATACTTTTCTCTTATGCCTTATGATATATAATTTATCTTTGTTCAATCCAATTATACCAACAATTCCAGCTATCATAATATAGTGAAGTGTGGGATTTTTGATAAACGAATTTCCAAAAAAGCTAAATACATAACAATACACATTCTAACAGCGGCCAGATTAGCCTTCGCTCAACACTGGAAACAACATCAAATTCCATCAGATGAAATGATTATCGAAAAAATTTCAAAATGTCCAGAAATGGATAAACTGACTTTGGCGCTAAAAAACAAAAAACCAAGGAACGGTTCTAAGCAACCCTTGGTGGCCTCAATAGAAAGTTCTGGGCTCAAAGGCCAGTCTGGCTTTGGGTGGGTCTGGGTGGTCCTTCGGGTACAGAAGGGGAAACCGAGGCAGACCTACCTCAAAAGAGTAAGTGGTCAGCTGGGTGCCGGACTGGGCCTCGCTGCCATACACCTCGATCTCATCCACTTCGTCCTGCGGAGCCGACTTCCCTCCTGCAAGCGACAGATTGGGAAATAAGGAACGACGGGGTCGGATGGATGGCCTCGTCGTCCTGTTATCCTCGTTCCCTCAATCCCCTTCTCTTCCTCTCCCCAAGCACTTTCTCCTCCTCCGTTATTTGACTTGCTTCCCACCCAAATAGGGCTGGATTGGATGTTTCACTGGGTTTTTTTTTTTAGTGGTTTTTACTGTTTTTATGGTTTAAAAATGTTTTCAAGATTTAAATTGTAATACATATTTTTAATTGTGAGCTGCCCAGTCATTTGCTGAGATGGGTAGCTATAGAGATCAGATAAGATAGATAGATAGATAGATAGATAGATAGATAGATAGATAGATAGATAGATAGATAGAGAGATGATAGCTGGATGGATGGATGGATGGATGGAGATGATAGACAGACAGAAAGTCAGACAGGAATGGATAGACAGGATGTGCAGTGCAGCTGACCTTCAGGCTAGAGAACCTGATTGCAGGGAGTTCTTACTAATCTCTCAGGCATCGGCACAGAATGGGCTATTCAAGGACCACTTTCCCTCCAAGTCCACCCTATGGGTCAACAGGACTCCAGAAGACCCACTGGAGGTGGGGAAGGGGAGAGGGAAGGAGAGGCTACCCCCTCCCCCCCACTGGAAGACTGACCAGGGAAACAAAAAACCCTTCTGCCAAGTGCACCGGCTCTTTTACACACAAGGCAGGATTCTTCCCCCCTCCCCTGCCCCCAAGACCCTACAGAGTGTGGGGGCCTTGCTCAGCCCCTTGGCTGCGAATCAGGATACCCACCGGACCAGTTGGCGGACTGCTCCACGCGCTTCTTCTTCAGGGGGGGCTCTTCCTGTGAACCAAACAGAGCTGTCCGTTGGCAAGGAGACCCCCAAACTACCCTTCTGCTGCTGCTGCTGGTGGTAGAAGCCCCCGTATGTCTCAGCAGGAAAGGCCCCCCGTTCTGGAAAGTGCTCTCTCTCTCCAACTTTGGCCACTTTTAAGACCAGTAGACTTCAATTCCCAGAATTCCCCAACTGCCATGTGGCTATGGAATTGGGGCAAGTTAAGGAGAGTGGGTACAGGGAATCCTTGAATGACGACGATTGAGCCCAAAATTCATGTTGCTAACTAAGTGAGACATTGATTGTGAGCTTTGCCCCGTTTTGTGACCTTTCTTGCCACTGTTAAGTGAATCCCTCCAGCTGTTCCGTTAGTCACATGGTTGTTGAGTGAATCTCACTTCCCAAAATGATTTTGCTAGCCAGAAGGTCACAAAAGGAGATCACGTTACCCCGGGACACAGTGACTGTCATAAGTTTGAACTAGTTAAATGCGTCGTGCCTTGTTTTACGACTTTTCTGCCTGTTACCAAGCAAATCACTGGAGCTGTTAGGCGAATCATGCGGCTGTTAAGTGAACCTGGCTTTCTGATGGACTTTTGCTTGTCAGGTGCCAGCTGGGTAGGTCACAAAAGGGAATTCGTGTGACCCTGAGACCCTGCAACCATCCTGAGTCCGTGCTGGTTGGCAAACGTGCAAATGTTAGTGACCAGGGGGATGCTAAAAGGGTCGTAAGCATGAAAAAGCAAATCCCCTTTTTTTCCAGTGCTGTTGTAACTTCGAACAGTCCCTAAATGAACTGCTGTTAAGTCGCAGGCTACCCGCATTGCGCTGAAGAGGGAGGCTTTGACTGTAGGGCTCAGCTGTGTGGGGTGGGGAGGAGGATGGAGAGACCCCAAGGGATCCCCTCACCTTCTCGGCAGAGTCCTTAGCGATGCTCATCGGGGCTTCCTGGAGCTTCTCGGTGTATTTCAGCAGGAGGGAGTTCCCCAGGCGAGAGCCCAAGAACAGGTAACCGGGCTCCAAGGTAATCATCTGAGATCCAAAAAGGGGTGGGGTGGGGGGGAGACAAGGAGGAGGAAAAGTCAGACTAGGCTAGAATGGAGAGATGATTGACAGGGGTCCAGGCTATTGGACTTAAGACTGACTTTATTGTCACTTTGAATGCACCCTAATTGGCATGCGTTGAAATGAAATTCCGTTGCCTGCAGTTCTCAAAGGGTCTCTGCCTCCAGTATACATCACATAACCATAGCAGAATGCCTACATATCTACAAAATTATGTATATACCCACATATAATATGTGACCCAATTATGTGTATACCCACATATATGACAGTCTGGTTTGGAGGTATACGTGTACGTGGCGAGAGAAACAAATCTTGTGATCTTACCAGACAGGTGGCCTAGGGAACAAAGTGGCTCCAGAATCTGGAAGTCCTGCTAGAAATACTTGGAAACCTCCTCCCAGAGGGGAGCCACAGAAACAGACCACGAAGTGGATGTGTGGGATGTCTATAACAATACTTTAAGCTCTAGACACGTAGTGCTTATAGACAGACTCCTGAATAACGGGAAGCTCTCTGAGGCACTCCAGCCACCAAACCAAACAGGAAGGCAGTTAGTTAAAACTGTCTCAATTGTACCTCTGTAAAAAGTAGCCAGGACGGAAGGCCTATCTGAGGCAGAACAGGACAACTCAACGTGGCCAACTCGCTGTGGGACAACTTGCCATGGGACGATTTAACAAATCAATTTAATTATTTAAAGTACATTTTTTAAAAATTAATTTTGTCTTTAAGAAGGGAAGAAGGAGAGAAAAAGAAAAAAAAGCTAAAGAGA